TGAGGGCAGCTTGGACACTTATCTTGCCTAAGGGTCGGTTTGAGTTGACACCTCTGCTTTATACAGTGTTTAGGACATCATGAGCTATACTATGGTGGCTCGAGGTTGGATTAGATCCGCTAGACCTATGTGGGACTTGGTTTCGAGATCGCTGCACCTCAGAGTTATCTTGGTTCGAGTTATAGGAATTGGCTTTAGATGTTGTATGAATTTCTTCCCTCACTCGACTTTTACTTTGGTTACCTAAAATCCCCTGTAGGACGATGCCTGGTCGGACTACCTGATTATTCAAGGTTTTTTAGGCGGAGCCAGCTTTTCGGGCCACACAGATATCAGGATTAGGAGTGGATGCTTGGGACTCTGCCTCTAATTGAAGATTTGGGTGTTGGATAATGGATTGTCCTGAGGTCTGTCGATAACTCCAAGGGATTGAAGCATGCTGGTCCTTAGGTTTGGGCAAGTTAGGCTTAGAGTCAGTCGTGGAGCAGTCATCATGGTCGCCTTGAGTGACTGACAAGGTGATTACTTTTGACTGGGTTCTTAAATCTAGACTTAGGTAAGATCTAAACGCGACGACTTAGGACAAACCTAGCCTAACACTATAGGCAAAAACCTTAGCTAAGACCTAGGTTAAGACTAGACTGGAACCTAGACTTACTAGACTCAATGGATTTTGGTTAAGACCCTGAACTAGGGTAAGCCTAGTCTAGCTCTAGAGGCAACACTTAAGCTTAGACCTATGCTAGAACCTAGAATAAGATCTAGACTAGATGGTGCACGAGTCTTGGCTTGGACAAAGAGTGGGTCTAGATTTGGAGGGGTAAGCAACCCTAATGTATTTATTTTTATTTATTTTATCTTTTTAATTTTGATGAAATACAATTATATAAGCATGGTGAAAGCAGGGAAAATATGATTTCAGTCAATATTAAGAAACTAAAATAAAATCAAAAGGGCAGAAATAGAACATATATATCTGAAGCAAAATATATATTTTTTATATTTTTAAAATTTTTATTTTAGGTCAAGAATTGGTCAATAGGGAGCCAAAAGTCCCTGGAATGATCCTATAGGGTCCCATAATTTTTCTGGGATACTTGCAGTTGGGCAACACTAGGAGTGTCACCCAAAAAAAGTAGGGTTCCAAAACCCTGGATTCTAGTCACAACCAACTTTTGGGACCTTTTGTGATTGAAAACAGTGAAAAATAGTGAACAACAATCGTATTTGAAGCTTGGATCAAGCTTGAAATAGCTTTAAGGAGGGCGCCAAACTGTTCAGATGAAAATCTGACAGATCTTCTGATGAAGATCTCTCGAATTTTAACACTTTAAAATAATTAAAAAGATGTAAATAAAGTGGTAGAGAAAGTGTGACAGATGCAATTCAGATCTGATGTCAGATTTGCCTGGAAACGAGTAGATCTACTATTAGATATGTGGCAGAGCTAGCATGATCCAGAGCATTAAAATACTATTTTTAAGACAAGTTAACAGATAAAAAATAAATAAAAGAAGCAAAGCAGTCAAAAGAAGAAGAAAGAGAGAAAAAGAAATAATACCAAACCGGGCCGGATGCCCTGGGATTCCCGAGCCTTCGAGGGCTCGCCTGTATCCGAACCAATCCTCTTTGCCTCTCTGATTCGGATGTTAACCAGCAAATCTTTGGTGTAAAGGGTTAAATCTAGAGTTGTTGTGCCCTAATTCTAGTTTGATCTAGGGTTTTTTGTGCCGCAGGTCTAGGTTTTATCAGTCGTGAGGGTTAGAACTTCAAGAGGTTAGGGTTTTTATCTTATCTAGGGTTCTCAATCTAGAGATTTTTCTAAAGCTATCTGTCTTTCTCGGGGTTTGGAGGAGAATTTCCTTAGTTTTCTAAGGGTTTTGTGATCTCCAAAAGTTGCATATAGATTTTGAGATTTTCTCTACTTTTTTTGAGATTTTTGGAGATTTTTTCTAAATTTTGAGGAATTTTCTAAGGGTTTTTTCTATTTTTGATATTTTTGGGTAATTTTCTTAATTTCAAGAATTTCTAAGTTTCTTTTATGTCTCTTTTTCTCTTTCATTCTGAGTAAGGGAGAGGGGGTATTTATAAGATTCAATTGGTGATTTTTTCTAAATTTTTTGGAGTTTTTCAGAATTTTTTGGATTTGTCTTGAAGTTTTAGCTTTATCTAATTAAATAAAACGTATTTACTGCATCATCAGATGTGTTGACTGCATCATCAGCTCTCGTCTGGGCATGTCTGGCCGGTTACAGCTCGGCCTGCGACCCGACAGTTGGGTCTCATATGGACTAAATTGTCATTTGTTATATCTTTTTAGCCATTGGTCCGATTCAGGCAATTTTTAGACCGTTGGAAAGCTCTTGGGCTCTACTTCAAATTGGGATAGGATTTGGGTAGTTTTGGGGTAATTAAATTCGGTCTAATAAGATAATGTGGTTCTAAGGGTTCAAAAAACCATAGAATTTGCCAGATTTAAAATAGTGTCTACAATCTTATAATCCTATATTGCATTATCTTTAAGTATCCAATTTTTTTAGTTAAATCCAAGACATTCATGATTATCTAACTTAACTAAAAAAATTGATATTTTAATTTATTGATATTTTAATTTATCAATATATAATTATGAGTGTAGTGGAGATAAAGATATTGAGATGTATAAGTGGCAAGGCAAGAAGGGATAGAATTCGAAATGAATCCACTCGAAAAAATTTAGGTGTGGCACCAATCGGCGATAAAATGGGAGAGAATAGACTTCAGTGAGCTGGTCGTGTATGACGCCAACCCAATACAATACCTGTTAGGAGGTGCAAGGTAGTTCAAGTCGAAAGATTGAAAAAGGCAAGGGGTAGGCCCAAAAGGATGTAGTTGGAACAGTCCGAAAAGATATGAGGACTTATAGCCTCACTGAAGGTATGATATTTAATAGAGCAGATTGGCGGACTAGGATTCTTGTAGCCGACCTCAAATAATTGGAAAAAAACAACGATGATGGTGGTGATGATGAAGATGATAATTATGGACAGGGTTAGCATGCCCGTACATGTACAAATCCGGGCTTGGCAATAAATATATTTTTTAAATATAATTTGATCCTAATTTTCAGAGAATATATACTCTCGAACATAGAGATCATGAGAATGAATAAGTAAATAAATTTTAAAAACTAGAAATAATAATTATATTAAAAAAACATTTGAATGATTAATTGCAATTGTTTTTAAATGGACTACCTATTTGCATTCATCTTTAAGATGAATGCAAAATACCTTTGGTACAGTACAAATGCAGTCAAGCCTGCATGAAACAATTGTTCTATAATTATTCCCCAAACTGGGGTGGAACCTCTATTATTTTCGCTTTTGGACGAAGCATCCGAAGTCTTTGGGTTTTCTGTGGAGAGCGAAGCGAACCGAATACCAAAAGTGTACCCTTCTCACTTTGCCACGTGTTACTTATTAAAAGTTTCCATAAGCTAGCAAACGGATATGTATTAATTAAGGGTGTTGGGTATAGAGCTTAGGCTCTAAACAATCAATTAAATTAGAGCCTACCTTCAAATAGTGTCAATGTAGTTTTAATATTGAAAATTTTTGTGGTAGTTTTAAAATATATTTTTTTATAAACTTTAAAATTTAAAAGATAGTATAAATTGATAAATCTATGAAAATCTTGAAAATAGACGGTCAACAAATGCGTTACAAAATACACTATTTCTAAAACTTAAAATTCTTTTTTTTCTTATGTCCATACATCTTGATGTCGAGATGATCAATTTGAAGATATTTAGGCATCAAAACAACCTCTTCTAGTGAAATTTTTGTAGTGAAATTTTTGTGGTAAGTTCCAATTTGATTGCTTAGAGTCTCGGCTCTATAAGAACTTTTTCTATTAATTAATGCCATGTATAAGAAGTAAAAAGAAAGAAAGCCATCTCCCATGCTTTGACACGTATAGAGATTACCAATAAAAGGTCATAGTATTACCATAATACCCATTTACCGACTTTGACACGGATCGACAAAAGTCAAATCCAACCAAAAGTCAAAACTATTACTTTTGAAAGTTTAGAAAGGTTTAAATATTTTTCCTCCTGACTTGAAGAGCATTAAAAAATAAATTTTAAATTAATAATATTAAAATAATATTTCAAATATTTTATGTATTATTAAATGTAGTAATAAATTTATATATTATAATTTTTATTTATAATTATTTATAAAAAAATTGGGATTAACCCACTAACTCATATGAACATAAAAGCTCAACGGTCCAAATTGAATTTGGGCCGATCTGACGATCACAGATGTCCGATAGTATTTAAATTTTATTTTATTTTCTGCAGATTCGAATCACTTCAAATTTGAGGTGTGTGTTCTTCTCATCAAGCACACATAATAAAAATATAAAAAAATTTATTTACAGAAAAAATAACCAAAATACCCCTGAAATTTTTCGGAGGTATTTTGGTCAATTTATTTTATGTAAAATATTTTTTTGATATTTTTCGAAGATTCACCAAATTTTGATAAACAAAACCTTAAAATTTTAATTCATTTGGGCTTGTAGAAAAAAAATAAAAAATTCAAACGTTACTAGAAATCCGTGATCGTCAGATTAACCCAGATTCAATCTAGATCGTTAGATTCATATGTTTATATATACTAATAGGCTAATCCCAAACATTTAAAAATAAAATTTTATTTATTTTAAAATAAATAAATAAAAAAAAGAAAACCTACTTTCATTTTTTAGAGCAAGCAGAAATAGGCACCGAAGCGAAAATGACCAGATTGGGTGGAGCCACCACTTTTTTAACCTCATCTTAATAAGGAGATTTTTGAAAAAGAGCATTTTACGTGGTTTGTCTGAATGGGTGGACGAAAATGACAAATGGAGTTTTTCTATAAAACGTTTTTGCCATTTTTAAAGCTCTTGTCTTTCCTCCACAGATTTTTTCTGACGTATGTCATCGCTTACGGCAAATTGTCTTCATCAGAATCTCAGGCCAGCGACTCAAATCTCTCCCTAATCGTCCGCACGTGAATAGCCCGGCCTGTTTTTAAGACCTAATCAGCCGTTTTATAATGAAAGTTGAAACCGAGTTGACCTTGTTTGTTTGGTCACACTTTCTTGCGCTACTCTGCTAAGGCCTTCAAGCCCCCTCTCTCTCTCTGCTTTCTAGTGTTTGAGACATGGGGATTGTGAAGTTGGCGCTTGGCGATGCCATTATCACCTTCATGTGGGTCTTCTGTGTTTCTTGCACCGGCATCTTCACCTCCATTATCGCCTCTTATTTGAAGTTTCAGGGGTTCTACACTCTTGGGATCACCGTGTTTCTGGTTTTTTCACTCGTTTTCATTTTCTCTCTCATTGGAGAAGCCCTTGGAGGAGCCAGCTTCAATCCCTCTGGGCTTGTTGCCTTCCATGCTGCTGGATTTGGAAAGGACTCCCTCTTTTCCTTGGCCATTCGCTTTCCAGCTCAAGTAATTATCCCTGTCTTGCTCTCTTTCCTGCTTTTTTAGTTGTTTTGATTTCTGGGGTAGTGCTCTTCTTGCGATTCATACCCATACTTTGTTGGATGTTCTTTCTTTATTATTTGGTTTATAATTTGGTCCATTCGAACAATGCAATATCTGTTATTTATCAATAAAAAAAAAGTATATTGGAAAATCTGTTCTGTTCACATGTTTTTTATCTCTGTTATGTTCGTATGACTTGTGAACTGGGTCCTTTGTTTGGTTTTTTTTTGCTGTTTCTTGGTTTTGGTGTGCTGGTATTGTGCGAGTCACAAATTTTAGACCTTTTGACGTACTGGGTATCGTTCTCTTTTATCAAATGCCAGTGTTCTCGTTATTTATTCTTTATTTATCTTTGATCTAACTGCATGTCTTACATAATTGATTTGGGAAGTTGTTAGGATGGTTTATTTGAACATGGCCTGAATTCTCAACCTCTTTCAGGCTAACCATGCTTGATTCCATTATAGCAAAGGCTTTAGGATATTGAAAACTGTGATTTGGGACTTGTTTGTATCTGAAGGAAAGATTCATAAGTTGGTTTGTTTGAAGGACCCATTTTTTTAACTCTAGAGTTCTTTCACAGTAGCCTGACACTTGTTGAATTGGATCGATTATTGCAAATTGGACTTTGGTTCTTTGGTTTTCTTACTACTGTGGCTATTGCTGACCCATGAATGATGCTGTGCTCTGTTACTTTCTATTTGGTGGTTAGAGTGAAATTTGAAGGAGATACGTAATGGTTGAATTTGAGAGATTGAGCTCCTAGATCTTGAGCTACTGCTCTTGAACACCAGATGGAACTCTGCATGATTGCTTTGATTCGCTTGTTACATGGAAGTGGGAGTGGACTGTCATCAGAAAGGAATAGAATGGATTTTGGATACAGTCTTATGCCTTCGAAACAATTTCTGGTTTTGCATATGCTCTTTCTTCCTTAGTTCCCTAGAACATTTGAGAGTGGAGTTTTGTACCTCTGAGGATAAAGTCTGTAGACAAAGTCTTATCATGCAAAAGCTGTTCCTTCCTGTTGAAGCCTTTTCAAAACGGGCATCATCTTTCCTCTTCTTTAGAAGTTGGCAAATTTCCTAGTTTCTTCAATGTTTCCTTTCGATCTCGTAAATTGTTTTATGTTAACTTGAACAAAATCCTTTATCTATGTAGTATTCTCTATTTTGTGCATCTTTTTTTAAATCTGAACCTAGACTTCAATTGTCTATCCTTATATATGTGAGATAATAAGGTTCACATATTCTTGTAGTTACTGTATGAAATATCTTTACCCAATAGAAAGGAAAAAGAACACTGATTTTAAAATCATGGTTTGTGTTCTGTAACAAAAAATGTAGCTGATTCCTTCCACTGGTTTCACAACCTGTCTAATCTGTATGTTTTCTATCAATTGCAATCTATGAGCAGTTTTTCCTCTGCTTGGAGTTTGGTATATCTCTTTTGCAGTAATTGAGACTACTATTTCCTGAAAATTTAATAGTAGCTCCATATACCATAAAAGGTAAAGACAACCAGAATCAGCAGACAAATGCTTTACTTGTGGTCAGCTTCGGTTCATGGCTCCGATATTTGCTGGTTGAAAATTTTCTGTACACACACACACAAACACATATATGTGTATATATCTCAAAAATTGCCAAGCTGAGTCGGAACTGCCTGAGTTGGCTTGGGACCGGGAGAGGGCCAGTCCAAGTCCCCACCAAAATCAGGGGAGTCTCTAATCAAACCTTTTTTCCTTTTTTTTTTTCCCGGTTTTTCCTTGTTTTTTTTTCTCCTCTGGATGACGAGGAAGAAGTAGATCCAGAGGAGACGACGGATGCAACTCAATATCTTGAGGAGGGCGATGACTCTGATGATGATGGCATGGCATCATCGTCATCAGATGCTCCTGAGGATCCACTTGAACTCCCAGTGTGGTGATGCGGCTGATGCCATAAAGTTGTTTGGTTGATGACTTGATGTATTTGCTTTTTGTTTTTTCCTTGTTGACTTTGTGTATTGTTTCTAGTCTAGACTTCTAGTTTCCTACAATGACATTTGGGATTTCAAGCATTTTAATATCTTACAAACTCTTTGAGACTTGTATCTGTAAATCTGTTATGGAATTGGAATATTATATTTTCGTCTATTTCATGAGGCATTTGGGGCTCTAAAATTGCCCTAAGAACTCCCTAAGGCTTAAAAGAACTCCTTTTTTTTTTGTTTGGGGATTTTTGGGGGGGTGTGGGGGTCAATTGTTTTGAGGGTACGAGCAGGCGCTTAGGGCGGCCAGGCACTCAAAACGTCTAGGCAGGCACCTACGCTTTCTTGAACATTGATATATATATATATATATATATATAAGAAAAGCATACAAAGGGATCATTTACTTTTAGTACAAGGAGGTCACAACCTTCTTATCCATTAAATTTCAAATCAAATGGTTGTAAGTGTACTTGTGATTAAACTCAAAGCCCAACAAAAATTTCTTGAACTTCATGACATATCCCAAGTCATCCAATTGGACATCTAATGGCTAGCATTAATTGTGACCTCCTTTTACTAAAGATAAATGGTCTCGTAGAATACAATCCCAGGATCGATAACGTCACTATCATCAATATCATCAATATTTAGGCTTGTCATCTAGGAACTTGTTCGAAGATACCATGATGGTAGGAAGGTAGGAGTTTGTCGTTAGGTATTTGACCAAATATGATCGTTCAGTTCCTATAGAACCTATCACTAAAATACTCCTAGAAGGCGATAGGAGGCGATAGGTCTAAGCGGAGAGATAAGGGTTTTCCATGAGACGGGAATGAGAACTATTAGCTCCACACGAGGTTTGTGAATAAGTGATTGTTTGATAATGAGCAAGGAATTTGTCTTTCTGCTAAACAGGATCTATTGAACTTAGAATCATTAGATACTTTTTATGAATGTCAACTAAGTATCATATATGAATTGATCCCGGTTGTTCAATCATTTGATAACCAGAGTCATTCTTTGAGAAATGATCACTGTTTGTGGGAGAGTCTGAGGTCAGAAAGGAATATGTCTTTCTACGAAATAGGATCTATTGAACTTAGAATTCATTAGATACTTTTTATGAATGTCAACTAAGTATCGTAAATAAATTGATCCCAGTTGTTCAATCATTTGATAAACAGAGTCATTCTTTGAGAATAATCCACAAAAATTAAATAGACCAAAATAGCCCTAAAACATTCAGGGGTATTTTGGACCATTTATCTTTGTGAATTATTGTCTTAATATTTTTATTAGGTGAACCTAAATGAGAAGAGTGGATGCCCTAAATTTCAGTTGATTTGGAATTTAATTTGGTTTGGAATTTTTATTAGGTGAACCTCGTTTCGTATTTTAATTTAAATTTTTTTCTACAAATCCAAATAACTTGAAATTTGGAGTTCTATTTTTCAAAACTAGTGGAATCTAATAAAAATATCAAAAAAATAATTCGCATAACATAAGTTGACCAAAATACCCCTGAAAAGTTTCATGGGTA